GAAGATGGTGTAAAGTCAAACTTTGGAAAGTCTATTGTACACTTACTTCAAATTATCCTAAATTTGTTTTTTGCTAGAATTAATAATATCCCACACTATTACGTCAGTAAAAATAATATTATAACATACAAACAATCCTCGTTGAAGGATTACCATTGTTGGGAATTAAGGTTAAGTTAAGAAATTCATTCATTGTGACCGGGAAGATCATTCCAAGCTTGGATTATATAGCGGGAGACTGGTTACCTGGAGTAGACAGGGACAAACAGTGGCTATATTTAGCGATCCTATTCACAATTTGTTGCAGTGACAATGAACAGAGATCACAAAGGGTTTCGTCCTTATTTCTGGATCCCCTTCCAGTTTGCTGCAGTCCCCTTTCATCCTAACTTTAGCCTCCTTTAGTTCCAACTCTAATTACTCCAAGGCACTTTGATCTTCAGTTTGTAAGTGTATCATATTGACTAATCCGGCAGTACTCTCATTTTCGCAACTGTTATTCAAATTTTATTACATCCAATAGTATATTTATAGTAATTATGCAGTTGTTAACTAAATCAGCGTTTCTCAAACTTTTTTTGCCGCGGCATCTTTGTCGGGTTTAATAATTTTCGTAGCAGCCATGTTTTTCCCGAGCCAGGGGAAAGACGGGTAATTAATGCCGGGACGCGAATTTGTAATTATTTCATCAGATTACCTAAAGTTTATCGACCAAGCGCGTTGGGTTGTCCCAGAGTGCCTGGATCTGAACGTTGTGGGTTCGATTCCCACCTGGATCAGTTACTTTTCATTCAGCCACCCGCCCTCCTTCCTCTCTCCACCACTGCCTTATTTGTGTTAAAAATGTTCGCGGCACCCTTGTAAAAAAAAAAAAAAATCGAAAAACTTTTATCATTAATGCTGTATTATAATCGTATCTTTGCCCATTCCTTATGCTACGTATATAAATAAAATACAATTTTGCCCAGGCATTATCTTAAATTTGAGGTTTTAAAATATATAAAATTATTTTTTGACATTACTAAAGTATTATTACTAAAGTATTATTATTATTACTATTATTACTATTCACCAAATTGACAATGCCATATACCGCGTCACCCATTTTTAGAGCTCTTGAACTAGGTATTGGTTTTGAGGTCCACGTTCATCCCCATCATTTCTTAAAGGTCGCTCTCACAAAGCTTTCTTCATCAGAGGCTCCGTCCGAACTAGCCGAGTGGAACTCAAAAGTTACTAGGTACACCCACATCCTCAGCCGATAGGTCCTTCTTAATGTTTTTTATAGTTTCGCTGTAGTTTTAAATAATTATATGCTGAATTTAGACTGTCATGATTTATTTTTAGCTGTAAATTGAATTGATCTGAATTTAGTCATAAACTGACTTATCTGTATTTTGATCTTAACTTCTATGTTAAATACCAGTTTATTTTTCTTTCTCTTTCCATCAATAGTCAAATACAGTTATAAACCTTTTTTTGTTTCTTGTAAACTACTCAATATATATAACATTAAGAGCTCTAAGGTTAAATCCCGATGCCACAATTCTACTCAAATGCTTATATATTAGAACCGTTTTTATTAGAATGTACCATTAGTTTTTGTCTAGGTTACCTCGAAAATTAAAGTCAACTTTCAGGAATAATCCGTTTGTTGAACGTTTGGGTTTGTTGAAATTCCTTTCCTGGTGGACCCACAGAATTAATTTCTACCTTTCTACTCTGGTTAGATTAAGTTAGGTTGTATTTCTAGTACAACCATCTGTTTGTCAGAAATGGCTAGGTAGAGGATAAACAAGAATAAAAAAGTTGACGGAATTCGGCGTGACTATCGTCTTTGTCGATGGAATGGATAGTTTTTCTAATATAAGCGAAAATCCTAAATATACACATGAGGCAATTTTTTTTTCTTTTCAATATTAACTATAATTGAGGACGGATATCTCGAAAACTAAACGAGAAAAGGTATTTTATCAATCATATTGAAAATTTTAACAACTTTAATTTTGTATAGAACGTTTTTGTCGATGCGATGGATAGTTTTCCTGATTTAAGCGAAAACACGAAAAAAGTGACCTAGGCGCTCCCTCCTTCCCACATCTGGCTAACCATCTAGGAGTAGGTACTTTTAATATGTTTACTTCCTTACTAGTCGAAATATCTTAAATTCAAAAATTGTATTCCCGCCATTTCCTTCTATAATCATTCATTGATAGCACTATTATTGTAAGTGCCCAGGTTTTGCATCCAGGAAAGATGAAACTTTACTGGGTTGTCCTCGTTCCATTCTAGATTGTTGGGACATGTATTTCTTCGCTGTATGAGAGCAGTAATGTAGTTGGATTATAGATATATAGAGCATAGATATAGAGCAGATAGCGAATGAGAGGCACTCTATAGAGTAAGGTTGGTTACCCCAGCCCCGCCTGCTGGCTAAATGGATCTCCTATTTTGTCGGGTTGGGGTCCTATCACTATCTGCATTATTGGCGTGCACTCAGCCCCCAAGATCAAATAGAATATCCAACGAAGGAGCCCGTGCCCCGCGGGGGGTAGGGCCGATATAATTAGCTCAAATCCGCCCTATATAGGGCTCCTGCCAGCGGTCTACAAGGTCCCTTCCTATGTCGTCGCTCTGCCCCCTCGAAATCTGAGTCATCGCTCAACAAATGGCTCTAGGAATTCTATTACCAAGTCACTATTATTTTTCTTACTAGTAATATGGACATATATGTTCAATTATATGTCTAAACTTATTAATTGTAACTGATTCGGTTGCATCTAAAGACCATGCTTATATAAAATTTGTTTTTTAATTTTTAAATATGTTAGTTGAACGGCAACAATACGGCTTTAGCCCCTCCGAAATTTACTAACAGAAGAGTAATCTTAAAATTCGCCATGGTTTTGTAGGAGATCATCTCAGTAGAAGCACTCCTTGTCACTCAATATAAGATAAACTAAGAAGCTGTGTATAAACAGAACAGATAAAGGGAGGAGGCGGCAAAGAGAAAAGTGATTAGATAAGAAGCCGCTTGTTGAACCTCTTACCTTCGCTAATCAGCGGTTCGAGGGGGTGGCTCCTCCTTACAATATTAATCATAGCCTTATTCTTTACTTTATCATTTTCCTTCTCATTAGGCGCTTCTCTTTGGAGGCCAGCTTAGAAACCATTATCAAAAGAATCTTAGAGCAACGCCTAAACTTAGCTATGCCTATACTTAAAAGAGATCAAATCTGAACATTCTCTATGGTTTTTTTTATTTTCTCCTCAGGTTTCTTTCTTTAATGAAAGTGACATCACTCCGCAGGTAGTACCTAGGACGGACCGTACCATTTCTTGATAAGTCTCTGTTGACACACCGAGTAACTTAATTTATTTTTGAAATATGTAGACTTCAAAAGTTTGTCTAGAGAATTCAAATGCAAAATAGCATTGTTTCATCGGCCCTATCTAGAACGAGTTGATGCCTATTTAGGACACACTACCAAAGGACCTTTACCACTGAAGGGCCGAATGTCAACATGCGCAACATGACACAATTCGTGGTGATGGATGTTGTTGTTTACTGTTGTACGCATTGACCTCTTTGATCATTTCCTGTTTGCCGTTGTTGCCAGCAGCAGCTGTTTCTATTTTCTAATTCCTTCAAATTTCTAGGGAATCCTTTGTTGTACTAAGTTCTGTGTGCTCAGTGCTATGTTTATTTTAAGTTGGAATGCCTTCTGGGTAGCTTGTTGAAGAAACAATTTTTTTTTTATCTGATCCTATATATTTACTTATTTAATCTGAAGTGCATCATATGAATGTATACAGGATGATTAAGTTTTTAATCGCTAAACTCTGGGAGGTAATTCTGGATAACATTTCCAATAAAAAATTTCATTTGATGCCAGTCGAATTTTGTTTTTACTTACAGTGTGTCACGTTTTCTCTTACATAGGAAGAGATTATACATTAAATATATACAAGATATTAAAAATAAAGCCTTAGAATTGCTAGACTTTCTTTCTCGTAAACGTTAAAAACATTTAGGAAGTTGAATTAACACCATTAAAGTAACTAAAACTTTTCCACAGATGCAAAGTACGCATACAGCGTGCATAATTCGGCATAATTGTAGGCTTTGCGTTATTAGACCTCCTGAAAGCCCATTTTGTTATTGACCTCAGTAAATTTAATCGCGGTTTTCTCAAAGAAAATTTTATCTACTTTACAATGGTGTATTTAGAATTTAATAATTTTGAACAGCTTTTGAGCAATTCCTTGTTATTCAATAAGACTCGTGACCACTGTAGGAAAAAAAAATGGTTTTAACTAACTCCGTTTCCGTTCAGAATCAGCCCATGCATTAAATGAACTTTTTTGTTGGAAATTTTTTCCAGAATCACCCTCCAGAGTTTGGATATTAAGAACTGAGACATGGTTTGTATATTTTTGAATCTCTGCAGAAGTTAAGTTATTAGGATTTATAATATCTAGAAGACAGAAAATTCAAGATTAAATAAAAGCTGAATTGAAGTTGATAACTTGGCTATCCAATGTTTTATTATTATTATTTCCCTTCTGTGTATTTTATTTTCCAACACATATAAATGTTATTATCTGTACTATTAAGCTTCTATTTTCGTCTGGTTTTACCATTGATTTATTTGCTGAAAGCCGAATCGAGAAAGATTCCTAATGTAACATTTAAACTTTGTTTTCTTATTAATCGAAAAAATTGTTTTTAATCCGATTTTAGTTGAGCCTAAAAATGTTAACAATAGAAGTTACGGAGCTGCCGTTGACTTACATGTTTCGGAGTGCGGAGGGTCATGGAACAGACTACTCTTGACTTTCCATAATTAACTTTTATTCCTGTCGGTAAGACGTGAAGGTAGGAAAAAAAAGGAGAAATATTTTATTGCCATGGCTGCTGTTTATTGATTTTAATGTTGCTTTGTTAATGATACTGACTCGTGTATTTTCCTTTCTGAATTATTGAGGTGAAAAGGTAAATGCGCATCGATTTATTGACGGATGTGTCAAATGAAAGGACAATACATTTCGCATTAAGGATGGATGTCGAACTGACCGGGACGTGTCCTGTTGGAAATAGATCGCCTGGGATGACCTGCATGAACGGAGCGCTGGCCGAAGAGGCAGGGAGGTCGGATGCTACAAGTGGCGTGCAGGGCTGTTGCTTACTATACTAATTAGTTGGCTAACCTTTATCTACGGCCCTCTTCGGCTCTTCTAGTCCATCCACCTGTCCACCTGTTGGCTGCCCTTCTTCTTTAATTACCGCTCCTTCCTCTTCAACCTTTCCTTATTATACTCTGTCTGAATATTATGGAATATACTCCAAAATGAAACTTATTTTATTTCTTCCCTCCCCTAACGCCACTATGGCAATATGTTGTTTGAAGTAGTTAAGCATTATTTTATTTTATTTTTTCCCTACTCCTATTGACTTCGGCTTTTTAAGTCATGAGTCTTCTTCAACAGCTTGGAGCTGTTATAGGTGAAATTAGTGATCGTTTGGTTCTTTCCTCTTCGGGATATCCTGGGATCACATTTCACTATCTCTTCATCAGGAACTTTCCTGAAGGATGGTTTGGCAATTTTTTGTTTCAATCTTGTACCAAGTTTTTTTAAGGAGTATCGGATTATCAGCCGTATACTCATTCCTCAATCTGGACGACCAGGAGCTATGGTGTAAGATGCAGAGGTCGTTCACCTCCCTATGAATTTCAGGGTGGAATCAAACCCGCGCCATAGTGGTCTAAGTAGGGAGTAGGGTCTGCACTTATTAATTTTAAGGTACTTGTGAAAAAATAATTATTAATAAATTAAAATTGGTACTTGTGAGTGACGCGGCCTCTATGGACTGCTATCTGCAATTATCTTGTTATTTAAAGTGTTGTTATTTATATTTCTTATTGTTAAATGTTTATAACCTGATGATAATTGTTATAAGGCACTGATAACCTTATCTTCATATGAAATTAGACTCTCGTATAATAAGAAATATAAATATATTTGGTGTTGCCTCTTTTTTGCCTGTTTCTTATTAATATATATATATATATATATATATATATATATATATATATATATATATATATATATATTTTAAATAATATAAATAACAACAACAACACTTTAAATAACAAGATAACTGCAGATAGTAGTTCATAGAGGCCGCATCGCTCACAAGTACCAATTTTAATTTATTAATTTTTTTTTGTATGTGTAAGTTATTAATTCCCAAGAACGGGATATGAATACTTAGTATACACTTTTTGCATAGTAACACACTACTACAATTATAATGGTATACAAAATTTACAACTGTGAACATAGCTTGCTCTCTTTACTTCTCAATTCTTCAATCAATTTAGCCGGCTTCCAGAATTCGGAGGTCTTTCCGGCACTCGTTCTCTTCTCCTTCTGTTCGTTAGGTTGTTGAAGTGAGCTGGACCCACCATCGTCTTTTGAAGCCTTTGAACCACGCGTTTTCCTCCTTCTTGAAAATGGAACTTAAATACCCATTCACTTTGTAAGATACGTCACAATTAATCGATGAAGAGTGATGGGATGATATCATTTCTGAATACCATAAATAAAAAAAGCAAAGAAATAATGCAAGGATTTTTGTATGGAATGTATTTTATACTTGGTTATTTTGATTTAACTTTTTCTACCGTTTCGTATAAAAACTTTAAGAATTTATGATACTGAACTAAAACAAGAGGGATAAGATAAACGATAAAATTCCAAGGCTCTTTTCCGACTTGGATTTGGTTATTATATATACATTTTTTTTAGAAGCTATAATAATATTTATATTAAAGAGAATATTTTTTAATATGTATAGAAGTTCCAGATATCAGAGTATACAAAGTCTGCAAGAAAGGGCATTCAAAGTTAAATAAAAGCTAGATTAAAGATGAAAACCAGGATATTAAACTTTTTATTATTATTTCCTTTCTGTTCATTCACAAGACAGCTCTACTGTATATTCCTAGAATCAAGCTTTGAATTGTTTAATATCTATATGGTTTTGTATGAAAAACGGTAATAATTTGTTCGACATTGATATAAAACAATATATTTTTGAATATGTATAGAAGTTAAGGTATAAAGGTTTATAGTATCTAGAAGAAAGGAAATTCAAGATTAAATCAAAGCTGGATTCAAATTGATAACCTGGCTATTAAATGTTTTATTATTATTTCCCTTCTGTGTATTTTATTTTCCAACGCATATAAATCTTATTATCTGTACTATTGAGCTTCCGTTTTCGTCTGGTTTTACTATTAATTTATTTGCTGAAAGCCGAATCGAGAAAGATTCCTAATGTAACGTTTGAACTTTGTTTTTTAATTAATCGAAAAAATCGTTTTTAATCCGATTTTTGTTGAGCCGAAAAATGTTAACGATAGAAGTTAGGGAGCTACCGTTGACTTAGATGTTTCGGAGTGCGGAGGGTCATGGGACAGATCAAGTTAGATCTTGGCTGCTTCTTCTTGGACACGTGTTTACCACCGTCATAGGATCCCATCATCCCATGCGGCTCGGCTTTAAGAATGAAGTAAAACCTTGTAAATTTTCTGAATGAGTTAGTTATTCATATCCCCTTCGAGCGCACCTTTGTTGTTTCTGGCTACCCGCTCGTCCAGATGACCCCATGCTAAGGTATTCTCTATATTTAATATGCTAGATACTGGTGTCCATCTATTTATAAATGTTCTATGCATATATTTAATATAATTGAGAAATTCTAGATTGAGTTATAGTTAATATCAGATTTCCTTTCCGAAGGTACCATGATACCAATTTACTTATTTGATCTATGAGGTGGCGTGCTGGAAGAACTCTAAAAATACAATTCTAGATGAGGAGTATTCTATTTGTAATTGAAACATTGTATATAAATTGAGGACATTAAATTCCTTATGGTCTCAGATACCACTAATGTCATCTCGATGTACTTTTTTGATTAACTACTTTGTCTTTTCTCGATAATCTCTTGTTGATATCGTAGAGACAGGAATATAAATATTCTTTAGAGGTGTTTGTATGCGCTCATAAAACTAATAAAATATTCGCTAGCATATAGACAGAGCGAGGGTAAGCCATATTGTAGAGAAGCGGAGACTATCACAATATGAAGCGGATCGAGGCTGGGGTGTTGGCAAGGCGAGCGTTGGGCGGATGCCACAAGGCACCACTCCATGCCCCATCTTATATATTCTGTTTCTGATTCTCTACCTCCGGCTTCTATTACCCTGCGTTTTCAGCTGTATCACGGCTGCTGCATTTTTTTTTTTCTTTAGAATTCCATTCCATAATTGAGTTATATTTCTCTCCGGGCACATAGCAGATATTTATTGATAATTAAATTTTGTATAAAAATACTTCATCCTTCTTAAAAAGAGGAGGCAACTTTTCATTCTTCATGATTCCTGTTTGTTAATATCAACTCTTCCTTCTGGGTACCTTGCCAAGGCGCTATACTACATTCATGGATCTAAGTAGTATTAATATCAACACTCATCTGGGTACTTACATCATGTTGATGATACTAGAATCTTAAAAGTAAAGGAAATAAATTAATTTATTTATTGTTATTGTTCTCTTTTTAAAAAGGGCCCTTTTAATTTGCCAACACTACAGAACCAATTTACTTTAAAACTTTATGGTGACAGGCAGGGATGCCCATCTCCCCTCTCCACCTAAAAATTGTATTACTCTCCTCTTCTTAAACACAGTGCAAGCAAAAATATAATTTGAAAAATTGCAAATTACATACAATCACAGTTGATGTGTCCTTGTTTTTCCTCTCATTTTCTGGTTTATTACTTTTCACTTTGAAAATTCATAACTCAGTTAAAACGTGCAATTTGTGCTATGAAACCATCTTCTGGAAACCGCTCGTGGCAAGGCTCGTTTTTTGGACTTTACGTAGGGCTAGAAAGAAGAATTTTACAGTGTTCAATTAAGAGTTTTTATTAAAATCTATATATTTAATGTACATCCACTCTGTTTTATGACGATGACTGTGGTAATTTTTTTTCAACATGTAAAGAAAGTAAAAACTTACGATGTATATTTTAAATTTAGTAAAATTTTGATAAAACCGGAAAATGGAATGTTTTCCATTGTTATTCTAACTTGATTCCTTTCTAACATTATTCTCTCTTATTCCTTAATTGATCTAAAATCAGTTTGAATTGTGCTTTCAAAAATCTTTGTTAATATTTTAATATTAACATATTGAATTTTATTGGTCTATTCATTGATGGTATAAATGAAAAAATCCAAACTACAAAGCCATGACTCTCCAACATACAGGTCAGGTGAATTGTTAACTTGCTAATGTTTCGCCAATACAAGTATCACCTGGGCAGAAAAACAAGATCACACATATTCAGGAAAAAAAAATTTAGTTGACATCTAACGAAGCCGTCCAAAGAAAAGAGATTTTTTTGTCTTCTATTTTCTTTCTTCATATTTGTGATATCTTTTTCTGCTCTGATGAAGCTTCGTAGTTTGGATTTTTTCATTTGCACCAAATTCGCCTTATGTCTCTTTTCTAGTTTCATGCCTATTTTCGTCTATTCATTCATTTATTCATTATTCGTAGTTAAAGAAGTTAAGAGTCCAATGAGTACGAGATATGTTTTATTTTTTGTTTTCAAAATTAGGTTAAATGCAGAAATTAATATTTGGCATATAAATAAACATGTTTTGCCTTTAAATAATGTACTCTTGTTAAATAATATTTTATAAAATACTTATACATTTCCTCTTTAATGTGGCAAGTGACCCAAATATGTTTTAATACTGACAAAAGTATGAAGACTTGTGTCAAATCCCTAACACTTTAAACATTTTACTACGGGCATCCTATCGTTATCTTACACTTATATATTTATAATTAACTTGTGATTAATTTTACCGAATGGTTAACAATATGTTATAATTTTTTTCTTAAGCATTAGATTAACAAAACGCGTTTTGTTCAAATGAGCGGAATTTATCACTAACTGGCACCAACTTGAATAGTTTCTAATTATAGAATATATCGTTGAATATATGGTTGAGTATTGTTTTTCCAAGAATTGTTCGTCACCAATTCTCGCTTCGTTGCATCTTCTTCATTTTTAGAGGGCCTTGGGAGTTAAGAGAAGTCTTTTATGGAACTTTTGTTAACACCTCTCATTAAAATACTTTTTTTTCATTTAATTTATTGCCTTTCTTTGGTTTTGTTTTTTCACTCCTAAGTGTATCCTAGATGACCAGTTAGGAATGATAGTCTTAAGACGTAATTGAGGCTTTGTTGACGCGACGACTGTATGCACATTGGATCTAGTGCATCATTTATTATTAATCTGTTTTATTGAACAAAACTAATTATGGCACTGGATATTTAAAGAAGAGTATAATTATAATAACTACTTTATAATGCCAAAAATTCGTTTTGATAAATATAAACTCAACTATTTCAAAATTAAAGGGAAAATAGATTAAATAATAAATATCTTGTAAAGGAAAAAAAAGTAACTAACAAAAGCATTGAAACAGATTTTTTTCGTCTATACAATGTGTATATTTTTTCGTTTTTTTTTTAAAATGTATTACCCATTATACTATTCTAAAAACGACAGATTATTTTTTGTTTTAAATATTTATAAACATATGAGAGTATGAATAACTGTTTATTTTAAATGCAAATTAGAAAAAGATATTACTTATGTGTGGTCAGGATCCTCAACTTAAGTTGGGAAATTTTAAGACCAATAACTTACAACAGGAACTGAAATGGACTTGTAATGTTTTTGTAATGAGTGCATTACTAACCGGATTACAAGCGATGAACGAATGAGTTCAAAGGAGGAACTGAAAAGTAGATTGAATCTTCTCATCTGCGTTATCACTGAACAAATTCTAACCAGAGAAAGCCTTATGTCTCCAAAACGAAGGTAAAAAATAAAAAATCCGTCGAAGTTTCGCTAATTCAGACATCATGAGTACAGGAAAGAAAAGCAAATCCACGATCATATCACTTCGTGACATCCAACCGCATACTGGAATGAAGGTTATATCACAGCTGAAGAAGGTTATAATCAAACAGCTGATCATGGAAGGAAAAAAATAAAAGAACAATTGAAAGACATGAACACACAATCAAAATCCATAAATGTGTCACAAAAAAAAGATTACGAAGAAAAAGTTATTATAATAAAAGGAGAAGAAAAAAAAAAAAAAAAAAAAAAAAAAAATATATATATATATATATATATATATATATATATATATATATATATATGGAAATGTACTTCAAGTGATGCTTATCATCAAAAACAGCTGATCTCGCAAATAATGATAAAAAACCAAAACATATCTAGATTTATTCAAGATTTTCAACGTTTCAGAATAAAATTTATTTAAATTTCTACTGCCAGTCCTATAATTAACAGCATTATCTAACATCTATGCAATAGACATAGCCTCAAATATCTTTCTCTCCGAACTATTCTTCCCTTTCTATTAGCATTCGGACATTATCAAAATAAAATTCATGTTTTAATATTTTAAAGTGCTGAGCTAATGCAGTGTTGTGCTCTTTTATGTTCCTAGTATATTCCTGATGTCGTATCGATGCTGATTAATTCTCCTATGCACAGTTTGGGAAGTTTCAACAACATACAGCTTAGAGAAATGTACGCAAACCCACCTAATTTCATATATCGTATCAGATTGTTGTTGAGCTAATATGTTATCTTTAAATGGGGTGTAAACCATGCTCATCCTGTAAAACGATGAAGGATTTTTTATTCTTTACCTCCACTTAAGAGACACAAGACTATGTGTTGGATTTTTTTAAATTATAACCTAATATTGAATTTATGCCTCTTGGTGAATTTCTTACTGATTTATATTACCATATCTTTAACGTTTTGGGTTTTAATGTCGTTCAATGAAGTAAGCTACTTATGCAAATGTTGTTGGTATCATCGGCATCTTACTTACAATTTAAGTAAATGTCATTATTATTATTTTCAATGTAATTAGCGATTGGAGAAGATAGATTTTAGGAAGGAAGCGGTTTGCGGGACCATTCTCTTAGAGAGAGGCGGGAGCATGAACAGATAACACAGACTCGACATCCGAGTGGCCCGTTCACCTGTCCCGCTCCGACAAAAGATCTGTCACCGCGCCTCCTCTTCTCTCTGGTCGCTCCTAATTAGTCACATCCTTTAGTAATTGCTAATTAACCAGTCTCCCGCTCTGTCGTAGCGAGCTAGTAATATATATACAGAACTTTTTACTTACCTGCCATCACTTATGGATCCACTGGGATTTGTATTTGAAAGCAGGGATGCTTTTTTTTTCATCATGTCATTCAAGTAAATCTGTGATATTTTTGTGTGGGCCATTCCGGGGTTCCTCATGGGTAGATGTTTGTACCGTTTTTAGATAATTTATACTCCTGTCTTTAATGGTCTGTTTGGTGTGCCTTAGATCATTAACAGTCAATGAAAATTTATTATAAAAAAATTAATATTTTTTCGCAAAACCAAACCCTCCATTTGTAAGGCATTGTTTTATTTTTATCTACCGTGCGAATTTTAATAATGGATACGACTTAATTATCTAGCGTTAGAAGTTTTCAAAGAACAATCTTTATTCCGTCATGGCGTCAGATATAAAAACTCTACGTGACCCAAGCTAAAACGAGAAACTATTAACACGAAGGTCGTACACGAACTTTACTGATACTCGCGAACTCGATCCAGATTAATTTCAAGTGGCATGATTCCCCAAATGTTTGCAATTATTCTAATCCATAATGTTTTTTTCTGTGGGCATTACAGTCGTTCTCCATCTATGCCTGTCTTGGGCTATTTCTTTCTAGTTATCTGCATGCAACTATATTTTATCTTGGTTGATTAGATCTATCCATCTCGTTTTTGGCTTTTGGCTCTCAATTTTCCTAGGCTTGTAATAAGTGTCATAATAAGGTATTATTTATGGCTTAGGGTTAATAGTACTATGTCAAACTACCAACCTGGAGGACCAGTAGTTATAGTGCAATGGATCGTACACCTCCTTGTAAATCTCTTTCTGATCCATATATTAATTTGCAGCAGTGGGTTGTTATGTAACAGTAACATCCCACTGCTGCATTTTTTGGCTATTACATTATTTTTCTGAGCTGTGCACACAGCTTGCTCTTCTCTTCACTTGCATCTGGTTTACTTTTCTTCTTATTCTGGTGGCCTCCCCGGTGCAGCTTCTCTTCTTCTTCCCAAAGAGAAGTGGGTTGGTAGAACAACTTCTTTCCATCCGTATATAAAACTTTTGAAGTGATCGTATCTTTCTTTGTCCATAAGTTGAGGAAGATCTCTCTCTGTTAGGACAAAGAGACCTGTTTCTCTCAACAGTTTCGCCCTCAGTGACTCATAGACCGTACAGGTAAGTACAACATGTTCAGCGGTCTCCGGTACCCCACAACTTGGGCATAGGGGATCGATATTTATACCATACTGATCGAGCTTTGCTCGGAAACCCCCATGCCCCGTGAGAATCTGTGAAATCCAGTAGTCCGGGAGGACCCAAGTCGCTTCTAGTCGCGAACTGACGGTGGGGAAGTACTTCCTTAGAGTAGCTCCTTTGGGAGTCGTCAACCACCGTCGGTTCCAGTCCTCTACTGTATCCTCCCGGAGAATCTTCTTCCAGTTTCTTGGATCATCTCTTATTCTCACTCGGAGGTAATCCGGTAGAGCCGCTAAGCATTCTCTCCTAATCTGATACCGGTAGTAGTCTTCTCTCAGCAGGAGGTCGAGAGGTATTCCTCCTGCCAAGACCTGCACAGCCTCATGAGACACCGTCCTAAATGATCTGGATACTCGAAGCAGAGCCATCCGCTGAATCGTGGCCAACCTACATTTCTGTCTGTGCGAGAGATTTTGGCTCCAGGCAGGGGACGCATACCTCAGGATACTCACAATAACACCTTTATAAATGGTCATAGTTGCTGGGTACCTGAGGCCCCAAAATGCGCCCCCAATACGACTGAGTCCGTTAAGGGTTAGGGCTACCCTACTTCTCAAGTAGTCCAAGTGAGGTGTCACGTTGAACTTTCTTCCAATCCTAATCCCAAGGTAGGTGACGACCTCACTTGGACGTATTCTTGATGCTTGTATAACCATTGTTATAGGGTGAGCCCTATCAGTCGTGCCTTTCAAGAGGATGGCCTGGGTCTTGGCGGCGGCCATCCTGAATTTCTTCTTCTCGCACCACTCTTCTACTAAGTTGGCGCACCTTTCAGCTTCTTCTTTCAGTCGGGCTCTGCTGTTCGAGGCTACCACAACGGCCAGATCATCTACATAAGCCGTAGCGGGGAACCGCTCCTCTTCCAGTACTCCCAACAACTCATTGAAGACTAAATTCCATAGGGCAGGACCTAGAACAGAACCCTGGGGACAACCTCTTTCCATGGAGTCTTCAACTTCGAAGAAGTTACCCCGTATTCTTAAAGTTCGGTCCTGAAGATAGCTTCGTAATAGCTCGTACAAGTTGCTGGGAGCTTCATACTTCTGCAACTGCTGGAGTACGCAAGGCCACCAAACACTATCGAAGGCGGAGGTGATATCAAACAGGAGGAGCATAACATACTTCTCCGCCTTCTCTTCGACGTCATGGCGCACTCTCAGCAGGGCATCCACGGTTCCCCTACCCTTAGTGGATCCGTACTGCCGTGGATGGCTCGCTCTTGAGAAGACTGGTCGTAGGCTCACCAGGAGTAGGTTCTCTAACACTTTGCTCATAACAGGGAGGAGACATATAGGCCTATAAGACTTGGCTAATTGCTTGTCCTTGTCTCCTCCCTTGTAAAGGAGCCTTATGTCGGCAATTTTCCAATTTCGTGGAAAGTATCCCCTATCAAGGCAATCATTGAATAACTCCAACAATGTATCTTCGATATAGAGGATACTATTCTTTAGCATAGCCGCATCGATTGCGTCTAAACCGGGAGCACGACCAGTCCTTTGCCTGTCCACAGCAGCACGCAGATCCCATATGTCCCATGGTGGGCACAAGTCCGTACCAGGTGGACATACCGTAGTGCGCCTTATGAATTCCTCTTCTTCATTATCTTGGGACGGATCATCTCTGGGGTAGATTTCCGCTATAAACATCTTCGATGTCTCTTCCAGAGTGGTTGCATGGGTAGCTCCGCACTTGAGCGCAGCAATCACTTGTTGTGGTGTTAGCTTACCCAGAGCCACTCTGTAAGGAATACCCCAAGGATTCTTTGATGACTCCTCAACAATGAACTCGTCCCAAGACTTCCGCTTTTGTAAGCGCACCTCATTTCGATATGCCCTGGCTTTAGACTTGTACTCGTCACGAAGTGTAATGCGCCTCTCGTCACAAATACACCTCTGGTACGACCGCCGGGCCTTGTAGAGCTCTCTCTTCATCATAGTTAATGCCGGCGTCCACCATGGAACAGGTCGAACTCTCGCCTTCCGATGCTGGAGGGATTCTTCAGCAGCATCACGGATGACAGTTGTGATCCTGGATACCCTGTAATCCAGATCATGAGTCTGATCCATGTCAGCCTCATCCCATTCCTCATCAACCAATTTTCCCTCCAGAGTCGACCGGAAGGCGCTCCAATCTTTTCTTCGGGTTATGTAACCCTTGTCTGTGCCGTGGGAACTAAATGAACTTTCCACCAGCCTAAAAGATATCGCCTGATGGTCGGAACTCGTCTCAGATCGAAGGGTCCAATCGATGATGCGGTTTGCCAGCACCGGTGATGCCAAAGTCACATCGATCCAGCTGTGGCCTCTTGCACTGGAGAACGTTGGGATAGCGGAGGAATCGTTGATGACTAGTAGCTGGCTCCTTGCTATAAATTCACCAAGCTGGACGCCTCTTCTATTGGTTCGATTGGACCCCCAGACCGTGTTCCAAGAGTTGGTATCTGAGCAGATAATCACGTTCCGAGTGCAAGCCGTGATCATCTCCACGGCGGTTATGTCCCTTTCTATGTCATTTCCATCAGGCATGTATGATGAAACTAGCGTAAAGGAAACATTACGCCACTTGATATGACATGCGACACAATCCGCCGTGGTATACTGCCTCAGATCCATCACATCGAGGTTAGGATTATTAATCACAATAGCAGCCCTAGGCCTCCTCTCTCTACTGCCCAAAGCTATAACTCTCGATGTGAGGCCAAACCCCGTTACTAAGTTCCCACGGCAGGTCGGTTCTTGAACCGCCATAACATCGTAGCGCGGATAAAGAGCCCGGAGTTCGTCTGCCACTATATGCCGGCGCCCCATGTTGAGCTGGAGGATGGTAAGCTCACTCATAAAAGGTCCTCTTCGCTACCTCTTTAGCCCACTTCAGGTGCACAGGGCACTCCCGACTTCCCGCCTTGTGCTTCCTTTGACTAGCAGGCGCATTTACCCGCTCGCAGTTGATGCACGATGGGCTAGCCAGTTCTTTTTTCTTAGGGCAATCTTTTATAACATGGCCAGTGGAAGCGCACCAAATGCAAACTACGGCATTTGATATGCAAGTGGCCTTAGTGTGACCATATCCCTGGCATTTACTGCATCGAGGAGCGTCGAGGTAGTCTTTGATTTTAATACTCCACCATCCTCCATCTAAGCTTCCTATTTCCAACAGCAGGAATCGAACTGTAGGGTGCACTTCTATCACCCAATTCTTTGTAAAGCCATTTCTTGCCATTGAGGAAAAAAGTGGCCGGATATCATCAAGGACCAGCGGAGTGGGGACCGACTTCTCGGGTATTCTTTCCCATAAAAATCTCACCAACTCCGCTGAATCCCATGAGAGGGGGACGCCCTGAACCTCCAATCTAGGTTTCTTCCTCAAGGCAAGTTTGGCTTGAAGGCCACTGTCTCTTAGCCCTTGCCATCCAATCACCTTCGTGGCATCACTACTATTATCCATGCGGACCAACACGGAGCCAGTCTTGGTCGTACGGACAATGGAGGCCTTTACTCCAATTTCGCTTGGTGAAGGCAACCCATTGATTATATCGGCTGGTCTCTTGCCCGTTCCGCTTATAGTGATATAAGTTGATCTCTCAGTTTGAGTTGGCTTTGTAGGCAAAGATTTCACAATATCCGCAATGGTTATTGGTTTCTCTTGTCGTTGTTCTTGAGCTTTCGGTTCTATTGAGATCACTCTGTTTGAC